CGAACCTGTGTCCCCTGCATCGGCAGGCGGACTCCCAACCACTGCGCCACGAGGGAAGCCCGATAATCCCTCTTAATTGCAGCTCCATACTACTTGCTCAGGCCAAAAATCTTGGAGCCATTCTTATTTTTTTCATTCACAGTCCATATCCAATCTGTCAGGAAATCCTGTTGGTGCTACTTTCAGAATAGATCTAGAATGCAGTCTCTTCATACCATCTTCACTGCTATCACCCCTGCTTTGAGCCATCATAAGCAGGCCAAAATAATGCTTGGGTCACAGTTAGTGCTCAGTAAATGTTTGTAGAATTAATTAATTGGTAATAGAAGAGTGTTATGGAGGACCTTGCTTACAATGCTAAAACATACTAACACCGGGGAGCCATTGAATGATTTCAAGCAGAGAAGAATGACATGATGAAATTTACATTTTGGAAAGCTAATAAATAGCAATGTTTAAGGAGAACTTCACTCATTTTTCAGGAAGAGTATGGAGAGTGATGTTGGGGTAAGTCCTTAAAAAAATCTTTTGGTAGTGTGTATAAGAAAGTCATAGCAAGTTGAAGCTTAATTATTTAATGAGTTTATACATTTTACCTTTATGTCAGAATCTTGGAGATTCTGACCCACCTAGTGGTTAAATGCAGAAAGATGAATATTAAGCCATCCCTATTGTATACTTTGAAAACTCAGAGTTCGGTTTATTTTTGGTTACTTTTAGACTTTTATTTGATTGTATGCTGTTAGAGTAGGTTTAGTGATAGATTTAATTTCTTAGCTGGTAACTGAACTTTTGTTTTCTGTCCCCTGTGACCCAAAGGAGATTTTGTGTATTGTAAGTTGAAGTATGGTTTCTTCATTGGTTCTTAAACTGTTCTCTGTTCTGTTCATATGGTAGTAGGATCTGTTACATGTCATATTTGCTGCTGTTCATCTGTTGAGGTATTACTTTCTTCAGATTCTTTATTCTTAACTAATTTTTAATGTTTTCAGAACACAGGATTATAAGTCTGGCTTTTCCCTCTAAGTACTAACATTTATGTGGTGTACTAGTAGGAAAACATAAACCTCTATTATTTCAGACACTTTAGCAAATTTGTTTTAAATATAGCAGTTATGGATATGAGCAGCAGCAAAAAATAATGAAAGATATCTGAAAACAAATGGAAAAGCTGTTTCAGGTTTACAAAGATAGATGAAAGACCTAAAAAACGATTGCAGATATTCCTTATTAGGCCTGAGGACACTGTCATATTGCTGCTTAATACTGTATAATACCTGATACTCATTAAATGTTTACAATCATAGTCTGTTTAAGAAGTCTAGGAAAATAAAGGTTTCTCTTTGGGAACATTCACACAACACCAGAGGAGGTAAACGTATTAGTTACCTTCCATGTATTCTCCATACCGTATACTCTCCTCTGCCGCTGTTCCATCTTTCCTCTCTTTCAGTGCCATTCTTCAAGTTATGTTAACAAAGCTATAGCACAGTTTCATCTCCTCCTGTTTACTCTTTAACTTAATTGAATTGTGATTTCCAGTTCCCAGCCTCTTTCCTAATTGTTCTCAGTGGAGTGACATTGATGCTCATGTTGTTAAATCCAGGGGCATCCTTTATTTGTCTTTATTCTCTCATATTTAGATGACCTCTTAATAACAATTCCTCCCTCTTGAGATTCTCCTTAGCTTTCAGGCTACTGCATTCTCTAGTTTCTTCCCTTTTGGCCCTTCTCATTTTGTTTCTTATGTAGAAATGAGAGGGAGAGCTCTTTTCTACTCGGCTTTTTAAATTTTTTAAACATTGTTTTTTCGTAATATTTTTGAGGAGAAAAATCTGTTTCAAAGTAAATAAGATTCTACCCTATGCTCTGACATAATTTCCTTCCAAATATTATTTCAGATTTTAAAAATATCTGGTTGTTTTTCCCTTTCATTGGATCCTTAAGATAAATTAGATGAACATAAATGCTAATGAGGATAATTGCATGGGAATAGAATTTAAGGTTTCTGTCTAATTTTACTTTAGGTTAAGTGGTAGAATTGCCATGGTTTAGATAATTAAAATTTATTGATATTTTGTTTTCACTATTTAATGTGTTCAGCTACAATTATTATCTCAGCCCATTTATATTCAGCTGTGTCTTACATACTTGGATTTTCTTTATGGAATCTTGTATTCCTGTACATTGTTGTAGAAGTTGCAGATTTTTCTTTTCAGAGTTGAGGGAGATCAAAGATGAAGCAAGTTTTGGAAAGGCGAGTGTGGGAGGAAGGTCAGTTTCAAATGACGATTGTTGCCTGAGTTAGGTATATGTCTGGATTTTAGAGCAGAGGCTTGGACTGTCTAGAAAAAATTAGGGGTAGATACCATATAGACATTAGTCGAAGTTGAGTGACGAGGTGAAAGTACCTCAGAGTGAGTATAACTCAGTGAGAGGAGATCCGAGAACTGAGGTCTTTGGCAGTCCTGTATTTAGAGGTTGAAGATACGAGGAAGAACCAGCAAAGGAGACCAAGAAAAAACTTCAGCTAGAAAGAAAATTAGGAGATCTTGTTGTCTTAGAAGTCAAGTAAAGAATGTTTTGAGGAGGAAGGAGTAACTCTATTTGTGTATCAAATGCAGCTGTTTGTTCAGTTAAGATGGAAGAGAAATATTTAATGACCCGGAGATCATTTATGACCTTGACAGGGGCCAGTGCAGTTGAAAGCCTAGTTGATAATTGAGTTTCAGAGGGAAGGGGAGGAGGAGAATTGGAGATAATAAAAGGTAACTTACCGCCCAAATTTTGATTTAAAAGGGAGCACAAAAACGTACTGTGGAGGATACTATTTAGAGATTTGTATTAGTTAAATAAAGCTTTTAAAAATTTTCTGGAAAAGTCACATTGCCAGTAATGCCACATTTTTCTGATTCCTCTTGTGAGGCTGAGAGTCTTACATTTGTATTCCTTATCTATAAATTGCTTGTTCCTCTTCTTTGCCCATTTTTTCTGATGGGTATATTGTCTTCAGTCAGTCTGTAGGAATTTTTTGTTTTAAGTATTCTCGTAGAGCCATTAATCTAAGACAGGGGATTGGCAAACTGTGACCTATAGGCCTTAACTGTTTTTGGTCGATAAAGGTTTGTTGGAACATAGCCACATCTATTTGTTTACATATTACATATTGTTTATCATCAATTCCCACCATAAGGACAGAATTGAGTAGTTGTGTCAGAGACCATTGGAGCCTACAAGATCGAAAATACTTCGTTTTGGCCATTTACAGAAAATGTTTGCCAACCCCTGATCCAGGGCAACGGTTTTGTCCGTATTTTCCTGGAATAAAGTTCTATGTAATTCTGAAAATGGGAAACCAACCCCTAATGTAAATTCTGTCTTCTAATCCTCTACAATACAGTTTTTCCACCTTCATTTAATGAATTTTATTAAAGATAACAGTCATTAGAAAGATATTAAATATCTACTTTGTCTCAGCTCTTCCCCAAAGTTTTTAGGGTTACCAAAATTACAAGGTTTGGTACCTGCTCTTAAGGAGCTTACTGTCTAGTCTGGTTGAAAGGAAAGAATACCACAGATAGAACTGTTTGTGAATGTATGCCAATATATGAGGCTATACTCAAGATGGGAGGAATTATAGCAGAAACTGTGAATGAAGACAGATTCTAAAAAAGACAGTCTTAACCCAAGTATTTGGATGAGTTTTAGGAGTCCCAGAAACGACTTGAAATTATATATAACACTGTGTACCTGAGCCTCTGATTATTATTCTGAGTTGATGGAGGTTCACTTAGATTCTCTACAGGCTTTGTGAACAAAAAAAAAAAATTAAAGAAATATAGGGCCTTACTCCCTTCTGTAGACTCTGTTAGTACCATTTTTTTAAGTCCCAACTTCTTTATTATATAAAACTCGAGCCTAAATTTTAATTCTGTTTGTCTATTTCGAGCTCCTAATAAGTGTTTTAAGTATTGAGAATCCAGTCATATCTTCTAAACATACCTGGAAAATGGGAATTTGATGATAAGAGGAGTTGTTTGAATAAAATGAAGGAATTGGGAGCTAAGCCTGACATGTCTGTGGGAGGAGAGGGAGCTAACATATGCATAAAAGAGGCAGACCGAACCAGGCCAGTTTGCTTTGCTGTTTTCTGATCTGGCTTGAAGTAACCCTAATTGGAGCCAGGACTAATTTTGTTCTTTGGGTGGAAGGATGGTTTGCTAAATAAAGACTAAGTAAACCTTCATCTTAAGCAACGCAATTTCTCTGTGTTTCTGGAAACTAGGAAACTATAGGAGTCACCATCCTCAGTATTAAAGGCAGGAAAACTTGGAAAAGTGTATATAGGAAAAAATGCTATGTAATGAGTGTGCAGTCTACAAGGGAGCGAAACAAACTCTCATTTCATTGAACTGGTGTTGAGGGATGAGATCTTAAAAAAATTTCTTAACGAGCATAGGGTGGTAAATGGAAAGTTAATTTTTTAATATTCATTTATGTTAAAGTTTAAAAATAGTCTCAGTAATCTTTATATGTACTGTGTAGACGTCCTTCTTTTGTATTACTATGTTCACGTTTTACAGCTTTATTTTTTATCTTAATGTGAAAAACATTGTAATAGGTCCATCAATGATCCTAGTCTCGGCCTATTTTCACCTAAAAATTCTTCTAAGTTTTTTTAACTTTGGCTTCTACCATCAGGGCTGTTGAAATTAAAACCCTGGTGTTCTTCGAGCAGAGATGCCACATCAAAATCTTTATATGGTTCTATATACCCATGATTGTTTATTTAATTGTGGTTGTAGAATATGATGAAATATGGCATATGCTTGGTTGAAGCTGCAGGGGAGCCACTTGCAGGGATGTAAGGGGGAAAAATAGAAACCCAGCATGTTAGTGACTTGTTCTTCTCCCCTAAATGATTAAGTTAGTTGAGGAGCTATAGATTGCACTGCTATCAAAGTAGCTATTACTGTTAAGTAAAACTTTTATTATCTTTAGGATAGCTTTTCCCTATCCGTAGCCGTTAAAATTCAAGCTGTCTGGTCAAAATATTAGGTGTTCTGAGTTCACCAGTAATTTATAATTTTTTTTTGTAATTGCCACAACCACTGTTTTAGTTTTAATAGTTGAATGTAAAGGAGTCTGAATGCTTTGTAGTAGTTGTTTTCACATTTTATTAATCTATTGATGACCGTAAATTACTAAGGTTCTTTGTTTTAAAATCTATATTATTTAACTTTTTTCCATGTTAAGAGTTTATTATGAACTTGCAGAAACATTTAAAACTAGACTTGTCCACTTATTTCCACCAGTTCATGCTCCCTTTTTATTCCCAATATTTTACATTTTGAGACTCTGATTTCCTAAAATATTATCAACCGGGTAATTACACCAAAAGTATAAATTATAATGAACTGTTAACAAATTCTGATGGAAGAAAATGGCCTTTTCTGTTTTTGTTCCAGAAGAAGTAGAAAGTAATGCAAAGGACAGCAAGCCTGAGGGAGAAGAGCAAGTAATACATGAGGATGAAAGACCCTCTGAGAAAAGTAAGCATTTGTACAAACAAACCTGAAATAGTTTAAACAATTGTTTCTGCTTCTAAGGCTGTGGAAAATACTTTTCTGTCCATGAGATGCTTGTAAAATTTTTCAGTTTACGTAAGCCACAGTTAAATCGTTTTGGTGATGGCTAACCCAAGGATCTTTGAAAGTATTAATTATTTCCTGTATTTTATTGTTTTATTTATTTATTCTTTCCATTGCTCCATAGAAAGATTTAAGCTTACTATTTAGTAAGGTGCTATCTGAATGTCTTGCGAGAAGTTGTTTTAGATTTGCTTTTAGAGCATTGGACCATAGGAATTTTGTCTGGGGTGATATAGGCAAATGGAAGTATGTGTCTCAATCTACTTAGAGTTCTTAAGCTGTAAGAGAAGGGGAAATGATGTTACTGAATGTCATTAGGTTGGGTTCTGTAACTCTCCCTGTCATACTGCTCTCCATCTGTGACTATGTAAGTTATTATTTTTTTAAACTTTCAATACTACTACTACTTAATAATAATAAAAGCAACTGTGTTGATAACACTTATCTATGTACCAGACACAGTTCTAAATTTTTTCCATCTTCTTTTTTTAACTTTTTATTTTATATTGGAGTATTTATTAACAATGTCGTGGTAGTTTCAGGTGTACAGCAAAGTGATTCAGTTATACATATACACGTATCAATTCTTTTTCAAATTTTTTTCCCATCTAGATTGTTACATAATGTTGAGCAGAGTTCCCTGTGTTATACAGTAGGTCCCTGTTGGCTATCCATTTTAATTATAGCAGTGTGTACATGTCAGTCCCACACTCCCTAACTATCCCTTCCCTTCACGCTTCCCCTACCCCCCAGTAACAATAAGTTCATTCTCTAAGAATGTGAGTCTGTTTCGGTTTTGTAAATAAGTTCATTTGTGTCATTTCTTTTTAGATTATGTGTATAAGTGATATAGTATGATATTTCTCTTTCTCTGTTGTGACTTACTTCACTCAGTATGACCGTCTCTAGGTCCACCCATGTTGCTGCAAATGGTGTTATTTCATTCTTTTTAATGGCTGAGTAATATTCCATTGTATATATGTACCACAGCTTAATTATCCATTCCTCTGTCGATGGAAATTTAGGTTGCTTCCACGTCTTGGCTATTGTAAACAGTGCTTCAGTGAACATTGGGCTACATGTATCCTTTTGGACTATGTTTTTCTCCAGATATATGCCCAGGAGTGGGATTGCAGGATCATATGGTGGCCCTATTTTTAGTTTTCTAAGGAACCTCCATACTGTTCTCCATAGTGGCTGTACCAATTTACATTCCCACGAACAGTGTAGCAGGGTTCCCTTCTCTCCACACCCTCTCCAGCATTTGTTGTTTGTGGATATTTTTGGTGATAGCCATTTTGACTGGTGTGAGGTGGTATCTCATCGTAGTTTTGACTTACATTTCTCTAATAATTAACAATGTTGAACATCTTTTCATGTGCTTCTTGACCATCTGTATGTCTTCTTTGGAGAAATGTCTATTTAGTTCTCCTGCCCATTTTTTGATTGGGTTATTTGTTTTGATGATATTAAGCCACATGAGCTGTTTGTATATTTTAGAGACTAATCCCTTGTCAGTCACATCATTTGCAAATATTTTCTACCCTTCTGTGGGTTGTCTTTTCATTGTGTTTATGGTTTCCTTTGCTGTGCAAAAGCTTTTGAGTTTAATTAGGTCCCATTTGTTTATTTTTGGTTTTATTTCCATTACTCTGGGAGACAGATTGAAAAAGATATTGCTGTGATTTACGTCAGAGTGTTCTGCCTATGTTCTCCTCTAGGAGTTTTATAGTGTCCGGTCTCACATTTAGGTCTTTAATCCATTTTGAGCTTATTTTTGTGTATGGTGTTAAAGAATGTTCTAATTTCATATTTTTACATGCAGTTGTCCAGTTTTCCTAGCACTTGAAGAGACTGTCTTTCCTCCGTTGTATAGTCTTACCTCCTTTGTCATAGATTAATTGACCATAGGTGTGTGGGTTTATTTCTGGGCTTTCTATCCTGTTCCATTGATCTATGTTTCTGTTTTTGTGCCATTACCATACTGTTTTTTTTTTTTTTTTTTTAAGACAGAGACTGAATGGTTAATATAGAGTAACCACAGGCCAGATGATTTTTTTTTTTTAAAATAATACACAATGTATTTATTTATTTATTTATGGCTGTGTTGGGTCTTCATTTCTGTGCATGGGCTTTCTCCAGTTGTGGCAAGTGGGGGTCACTCCTCATCGCGGTGCGCAGGCCTCTCACTATCGCGGCCTCTGTTGTTGCGGAGCACAGGCTCCAGACGCGCAGGCTCAGTAATTGTGGCTCACGGGCCCAGTTGCTCCATGGCATGTGGGATTTTCCCAGACCAGGGCTCGAACCCGTGTTGTCTGCACTGGCAGGCAGATTCTCAACCACTGCGCCACCAGGGAAGCCCCTACCATACTGTTTTGATGACTATAGCTTTGTAGTGCAGTCTGAAGTCAGGGAGCCTGATTCCTCCAGCTCTGTTTTTCTTTCTCAAGATTACTTTGGCTATTGGGGTCTTTTGGGTCTCCATACAAATTTTAAGATTTTTTTGTTCTAGTTCTGTGAAAAATGTCATTGGTAATTTGATAGTGATTTCACTGAATCTCTAGATTGCCTTGGGTACTATAGTCATTTTGACAATATTGACTCTTCCAATCCAAGAACACGGTATATCTTCCCATCTGTTTGTGTCGTCTTCGATTTCTTTCATCAGCGTCTTACAGTTTTTGGAGTACAGGTCTTTTGTCTCCTTAGATAGCTTTATTCCTAGATACTTTATTCTTTTTGATGTGATGGTAAATGGGATTGTTTCTTGAATTTCTCGTTCTGTCTTTTGTTGTTAGTGTATAGAAATGCAACATATTTCTGTTTATTAATTTTGTAAATGCAACTTTACCAAATTCATTGATGAGTTCTAATAGTTTTCTGGTAGCATCTTTGGGATTTTCTATGTATAGTGTCATCTGCAAACAGTGGCAGTTTAACTTCTTCTTTTCCAATTTGGATTCCTTTTCTTTCTTTTTCTTCTCTGATTGCTGCGGCTAGGACTTCCAAAACTATGTTGAATAAAAGTGGTGTGAGTGGACATCCTTGTCTTGTTCCTGATCTTAGAGGAAATACTTTTAGCTTTTCACCATTGGGTAAGATGTTAGCTGTAGGTTTGTCGTATTTGGCCTTTATTATGTTGAGGTATATTCCCTTTATGCCCACTTTCTGGAGAGTTCTTTTTTTGTGTGGTACGCGGGCCTCTCACTGCTGTGGCCTCTCCCGCTGCGGAGCACAGGCTCCGGATGCACAGGCCCAGCGGCCACGGCCCGCGGGCCCAGCCGCTCCGCGGCATACAGGATCCTCCCAGATTGGGGCACGAACCCGTATCCCCTGCATCGGCAGGCGGACTCCCAACCACTGCGCCACCAGGGAAGCCTTGGAGAGTTTTTATCATAAATTGGTGTTGAATTTTGTCAAAAGCTTTTTCTGCATCTATTGAGATGATCATATGGTTTTTATTCTTCAGTTTGTTGATGTGTGTATCACACTGATTGATTTGCGGATATTGAAGAATCCTTGCATCCTTGGATAAACCCCACTTGATCGTGGTGTATGGTCCTTTTAATGTATTGTTGGATTCTGATTGCTAGTATTTGGTTTAGGATTTTTGCATCTATATTCATCGGTGATATTGACCTGTAATTTTCTTTTCTTGTGGTATCTTTGTCTGGTTTTGGTATCAGGGTGATGGTGGCCTCATAGTATGAGTTTGGGAGTTCTCTTTCCTCTGCAATTTTTTGGAACATTTTCAGAAGGGTAGCAGTTAGCTCTTCTCTAAATGTTTGTTGGAATTTGCCTGTGAAGCCATCAGTTCCTGGACTTGTGTTTGTTGGGAGTTTTTAAATCACACTTTCAGTTTCAGTGCTTGTGATTGGCCTGTCCATATTTTCTGTTTCTTCCTGGTTCAGTCTTGGGAGACTGTATCTTTCTAAGAATTTGTGCATTTCTTCCAGGTTGTCCATTTTATTGGCGTACAGTTGCTTGTAGTAGTCTCTTATGATCCTTTGTATTCCTGTGGTGTCAGTTGTAACTTAGCCTTTTTCATTTCTAATTTTATTAATTTGAGTGATCTCTCTTTTTTTCTTAATGAGTCTGGCTAAAGGTTTATCAATTTTGTTTATCTTTTCAAAGAACCAGCTTTTAGTTTCATTTATCTTTGCTTGTCTCTGTATTTCTGCTCTGATCATTATAAAATCTTTTCTTCTACTAACTTTAGGTTTTGTTTGTTCTTTGTCTCGTTGCTTTAGGTGTAGGGTTAGGTTGTTTATTTGAGATTTTTCTTGTTTCCTGAGGTAAGATTATATTTCTGTAAACTTCCCTCTTAGAAATGCCTTTGCCATATTTCACAGGTTTTCGGTCGTTGTGCTTTCATTTTCACTTGTCTCTAGGTACTTCTTGATTTCCTCTCTGATTTCTTCAGTGATCCAGTGGTTTTTAGTAGCATATTGTTTAGCCTCCACACGTTTGTGTTTTTTACAGTTTTTTTCTTGTAGTTTATTTCTAATCTCATAGCGTTGTCATCAGAAAAGATGCTTGATATGATTTCAATTTTCTTAAATTTACCAAGGCTCCCTTTGTGGCCCAGCGTGTGGTCAATCCCAGAGAATGTTCCGTGTGCACTTGAGAATGTGTATTCTGCTGCTTTGGGATGGAAAACTCTATAAATATCAGTTAAGTCCATCTGGTCTAATGTGTCATATAAGGCCTGTGTTTCCTTATTGATTTTCTGCCTGGATGATCTGTCCATTGATGAAACTGAGGTGTTAAAGTTCCCCAGTATTATTGTGCTACTGTTGATTTCTCCCATTATAGCGGTTAGTATTTGCCTTATATATTGAGGTGCTCCTATGTTGGGTGCATATATATGTACAATTGGTATGTCTTCTTAGATCGATCCCTTGATCATTATGTAGTGTCCTTCTTTGTCTCTTATAACAGTCTTTGTTTTAAAGTTTGTTTTGTTTGAAATTAGTATTGCTACTCCAGCTTTCTTTCGATTTCCATTTGCATGGAATGCCTTCTTCCATCCTCCTACTTTCAGTCTGTATGTGTCACTAGGTCTGAAATGGGTCTCTTGTAGACAGCATATATACAGGTCTTGTTTTTGTATCCATTCAGCCAGTCTGTGTCTTTTTGTCAGACCATTTAATCCATTTACATTTAAGGTAATTCTCAATATGTGTGTTCCTATTACCATTTTCTTAATTTTTGGGGGTTTGTTTTTGTAGGTCTTTTTTCTTCCCTTCCTCTTTTGTTCTCCTCTCTTTTGGTTTGATGACCATCCTTTGTGTTGTGTCTGGGTTGCTTTTTCTTTTTTGAGTGTGTACCTATTGTAGTTTTTAGGTTTGCTGTTCCCATGAGGTTTTGATATAGCAGTCTCTATGTGTAGAAGGTTGTTTTATGTTGCTGGTCTCTTACCCGCCTAGAGGAGTTCTCTTAGCTTTTGCTTTTCTGTAAAGCTTTTGATTTCTCTGTCAAATCTGAATGAGAACCTTGCTGGGTAGAGTATTCTTGATTGTAGATTCTTCCCTTTCATCACTTTAAATATATCATGTCGCTCACTTCTGTCCTGCAGAGTTTCTGCTGCGAAATCAGCTGATAACCTTATGGGAGTTCCCTTGTATGTTATTTGTTGTTTTTCCCTTGTTACTTTTAATATTTTTCCTTTGTCTTTAATTTTTTCCAATTCGATTACTATGTGTCTTTGTGTGTTCCTCTTTGGCTTTATCCTGCCTTGGACTCTGTGCTTCTTGGGCTTGGATGACTGTTTACCATGTTAGGGGAAGTTTTCAATTATAATCTCTTCAAATGTTTTCTCAGGTCCTTTCTGTCTCTCTTCTCCTCCTGGAATCCCTATAATGAGAATGTTGGTGCATTTAATGTTGTCCTAGAGGTCTCTTAGATTGTCTTCATTTCTCTTTATTCTTTTTTCTTTTTTTTTTTTCTTTTTTTTTTTTGTGGTACGCGGGCCTCTCACTGTTGTGGCCTCTCCCATTGCGGAGCACAGGCTCCGGACGCGCAGGCTCAGCAGCCATGGCTCACGGGCCCAGCCGCTCCGCGGCATGTGGGATCTTCCCAGACCAGGGCACGAACCCGTGTCCCCTGCATCGGCAGGCGGACTCCCAACCACTGCGCCACCAGGGAAGCCCTATTCTTTTTTCTTTATTCTGTTCCACGGCAGCGATTTCCACCATTCTGTCTTCCAGGTTACTTATCTGTTCTTCTGCCTCAGTTATTCTGCTGTCGATTCCTTCCAGTGTATTTTTCATTTCAGTTATTGTATTGTTCATCTCTGTTTGTTTCTTCTTTACTTCTTATAGGTCTTTCTTAAACATTTCTTGCATCTTCTCAGTCCTTGCCTCCATTCTGTTCCTGAAGTCCTTGATCATCTTCACTATCGTTATTCTGAATTCTTTTTCCAAAAGGTTGCCTATCTCCACTTCAGTTAGTTGTTTTTCTGGGGTTTCATCTTGTTCCTTCATCTGGGACATAATCCTCTGCCGTTTCATTTTGTCTACCTTTCTGTGATTGTGGTTTTCATTCCACAGGCTGCAGGACTGTAGTCCTTCTTGCTTCTGCTGTCTGCCCTCTGGTAGATGAGGCTATCTCAGAGGATTGTGCAGGCTTCCTCATGGGAGGGGCTGGTGGTGGGTAGGGCTGGGTTGTGTCTCTCTGGTGGGCAGAGTTCAGTAAAACTTGAATTTGCTTGTCTGCTGATGGGTGGGGCTGTGTTCCTTTCCTGTTGGTTGTTTGGCCTGAGGTGACCCAGCACTGGAGCCTACAGGCAGTTTGGTGGGGCTAATGGTGCCTCTGGGAGGGCTCATGCCAATGAGTGCTTCCCAAAACTGCTGTTGCCAGTGTCTTTGTCCCTGCAGTGAGCCACTGCCACTCCCCACCTCTGCATGAGACCCTCCAGTGCTAGCAGGCAGGTCTGGCCCAGTCTCCTGTGGGGTCACTGCTCTCTTCTCTTGGGTCCTGATGTGCGCAAGACCCTCTGTGTGCCCTCCAAGAGTGGAGTTTCTGGTTCCCCCAGTCCTGTGGAGGTCCTGCAATTAAATCCCTCTGGCCCTCAAAGCCAGACCCTCCGGGGCCTCCTCTTCCCATTGCCAGACTCCCAGGTTGGGAAGCTTGACATGGGGCTCAGAACTTTCACTCCAGTGGGAGAACTGTGGTACAGTTGTTCTGCAGTGTATGGGTTGCCCACCTGGTGGGTATGGGACTTGATTCTATCACTGTTTTGCCCCTCCTATTGTCTTGCCATGGCTTCCCCTTTGTCCTTGGATGTAGGCTATCTTTCTTTGGTAGGTTCAAATGTTTCTTTGTCGATGGTTGCTCTGCAGTTAGTTGTGATTCCAGTGTTCTTGTAAGAAGGGATGAGCGTACCTCCTTCTACTCTGCCATCTTGACCTTATCTCTCTGTGACTACGTAAGTTATGATACAAGGGAAATCGTAGAATAGAATTGAATTTTAATAATAGGCTCATAGATAGTGTGGAGATTTTAATTTAATATTTCCCCATTTCTATATTGAAAAAGAAACCATATAAAATATGTTATGATCTAATGAGTGTTACCAGTATTTGAAACAGAAATTTTCTAAGTGAAGGCCTTTGAATGTCTATTCTTTACCAAATTTACCTTTATAATGACATTAATTTTATTATTTTTATATATTTGAAATTTATTAGGATATGTTAAGAATAACTAATACTATTTTCATGAGGCTGGTGATTAAGAAAGAATTTTTCCTAAACTTACTGAGGAAGAAAATTACTGCGGATGAAGAATTAAATAATTAAAGCTATGCAGTTAGTAGAAGCATGTGATGTGAGAATAAACACTGAGAAATCTGTGACTTGTGAATGAATACTGTATTTTGTCAGAGAATTCATACACACTAGAGAATTTAGTGAAAGGAATGAATTTGAGCTGATTTCTTCTCATCCCATATTGTTAGTTGAGCTTCCATCGTAATACGAAGATTTCAAGGAAAAAATGTTCTTTGTTCATGTTTTTTGTACATTTACTTATTTAGTGTTTGGAGGTTCTTATTTAGCATATTGAAAATCATTTCACGTTTAAGGTAAAAGCTATCTATTTACTTTTCTGATCACAAAAACAATTCATAAAATAATTTGTTGAGAGTGCTATTTTGATAGCTAGAAATAATATCTTCCTGAGGGTGGAGAAGAGGCATTAAGGTCTATCTGTAATAAAAACAGCTGACTGGTCATTATGCTTTTTCTTCTCAGGTGAATTTTTTAGAAGAAAACGTTCTAAGTCAGAGGACATGGACAATGTACAGTCCAAACGCCGTCGATATATGGAAGAAGAATATGAGGCAGAGTTTCAAGTAAAGATTACAGCCAAAGGAGATATAAACCAGAAGCTACAAAAGGTGTTAGAGATTATAAGTTAAAACCTTATTAAACAAAAAACACCACCATCTTTATTCTACTAGATTTTTGACACTACTGTGTATTTTACTGAAATACTCAGCTTTTTCATAGAAAGAAAGAACTTGAAGCAATTGGTTAAGCTTATTACCCTTAATAATTTAATTCTAAAATTCCTTATCACTCTTTTGAAGCTAAATAGTTTTTTTTTGTTGTTTTGTTTTTTTAGATATGGTAGTAATTTTCAAAATGGGAGTGAAATTATGGCTTCTTCTCTTTTCTTTTTTTTTTCTTTTTTTTTTTTTTTTTTGCGGTACACAGGCCTCCCACTGCTGTGGCCTCTCCCATTGCGGAGCACAGGCTCCGGACACGCAGGCTCAGCAGCCATGGCTCACGGGCCCAGCCGCTCCGTGGCATGTGGGATCTTCCTGGACCGGAGCACGAACCCGTGTCCCCTGCATCAGCAGGCGGACTCTCAACCACTGCACCAGCAGGGAAGCCCATGGCTTCTTTTCTTATTTGCTTTATTAACAAAACTGAATACCAGTTTTCAGCTTTTATTTTTTCTTCTATATTAAACTTTATTCTAGTGGAAACATTAGAGTCTTATATGTTAACATTTATTTTTTATAATTTTTGTCATAAGCTGGTTTCATGGCTGTAAGACCCTGTGTTCTAAAATCTTTGTTATGTACCTTAGGCTTAGTAGTAAAAATGGTATGGGCAAGGCTTTCGAATGACTAGGGAAAGGGAATATTTAAGGTACAGACTGGAAACTTCCTCCTATATGTGTTAGACTAGAGATAGAAATAATGAAAATATAAAGTATTTAATATATTTTTCAAGATGTGTTCACAAATATTGATGACAAATGCCTTTTTAAGAGAAGAATAGAAGACTCAGGTGAAAAATTTTCAAGGTCTTATAGATTTAATGGTGAAATTATAAATAATCTAGGCCAGTGTTCCTCTACTCAGATAAAGTATAAATGTCCCCATTAGAGAAAGGAACAGAGAGGCAGTACAAAAGTGGCTTTTTTTTTTCTCCCAGTGTCTTTTTTCTTTTAATCATATGGTGATAATAATGCTTGTTTAGTCTTTCTTATAGAGCTATTAGAAATATGAAGATAGCTGTGAGAAAGCATTTTGAAATATACTTCTGTATATACTGAGGGTTTACTCCTCTAGAGCAGTGTAATTCGGGGATGGTCTGTGGGCTGCACCGTGTGTCCTGTTTGTTATGGGTCCATAATGAGATAAATATGGAAATTGTGAGTAGGCATTTAGAAATGATTTATAGGAATTTCATAGTGCAGTGACATTCTTAGTGTCTCACAAAAATATCATCTGTAACAGATTTGAAAATTTTAAACCTGCTCCTTACCTTCAACTGGTTTCTTTTAAATCACAGTAGAGGGTGTGGGAAGAAAATATTAAAACTTCAATTTCAAAATGTTTTAAAAATTTCACCCTCTGGAAATTTTCTATTTTTAGTACATTTTATTGTGTTATAGTAGATATTATATATGTAGAAGTGGAGGATTTCAGCAGATAGCATTGTGTTATGGATGCCAGTATGTTTTTTTTAATTAATATATTAGTACTTCAGAATATTTACTGTTTGCTGCTTGCTTGAAATTCCTTTTTTGCTATAACAAAGGAATATGTGTATTTTTAGGTTGTACAGTGGTTGCTGGAAGAAAAATTGTGTGCGCTACAGTGTGGTGTATTTGATAAGACATTGGCAGAATTGAAAACACGAGTGGAAAAGATTGAGTGTAACAAGAGGCATAAAACAGTTTTAACTGAACTACAGGTTTGTACACTGACTTGAATTGCATATCCGTGTGTCATCATTTTTATAACTTACTTTCTGGGATATGTTTTTGAAGTTGACAGTAAAGTATATTTAACTTTTAAGTATTAGAAATAAAAGGAGCCTCTATTAGTTTGCTAGGGCTACCATTAACAAAAAGTACCATAAACTGGATGCCTGAAACAACAGAAATGTACTGTCTCATAGTTTTGGAGGCTGAAAGTCCAAGATGAAGCTGTCGTCAGGATTGGTTCTGAGGGCTGTGAGGAAGAGTCTGTTCCTTATGTCTACTCTAGCTATCGATGGTTTACTGACAGTCTTTGGCATTCCTTGTCTTATAGAAGTATCACCCTGATTTCTGGCTTCATCTTCACATGGTGCTGTATCTGTATGTTTGCCTGTTTCCAAATTTTCCCTTTTTACAAGGATACTAGTCATATTGGATTAGGACCCACCCTATTCCAGTATGACCTCATCTTAAGTACAGTTGACTCTTGAACAATGTGAAGGTTAGAGGTGCTGTCCCCACCCCCTGCAGTTGAAAATCTGTGCACTGGCACCTGCTTCAAAAAGTGAAGGAATTGATAAATGACTCACCCAAGGCAGTAGCTGAAACACTTCAGATAGAATCGGAACTCAAGCCCTAATTCTTTTGATTTCACATCTGGTGATCTCTAATTGAACACAAACTTTTCCCCACATTTAATTTAAAGATCTGTAAAGTGAAAATATAGGTATTATATTGATTGAAAAAAATCCATGTATAATTGGACCCACACAGTTCAAATCTATGTTGTTCAAGAGTCAGCTGTAGGGCTTCCCTGGTGGCGCAGTGGATGAGAGTCCGCCTGCCGATGCAGGGGACACGGGTTCGTGCCCCGGTCCGGGAAGATCCCACATGCCGCGGAGCGGCTGGGCCCGTGAGCCATGGCCGCTGAGCCTGCGCGTCTGGAGCCTGTGCTCCGCAACGGGAGAGGCCACAGCAGTGAGAGGCCCGCGTACAGCGAAAAAAAAAAAAAAAAAAAAAAAAGAGTCAGCTGTAATTACCTCTGTGATGACCCTCTTTCCAAATAAGGTCATGTTCTGAGATACTTGGGGTTCAGACTTTCATATACTTTTGAGATACATAGTTCAACCCATAGCAAAGCTTCAGAAATAATCTACCTTAGTGCATCTTAAATATTTCTTCATTCAGTGAAGAAAGGCTGGCATCATCTAAAATGTCATGAGTACTAAATAATATTTGCTGTGATTCTTTTTATTTTAATCTACTTCTCCCATGAATCGTATTTTTTAAAGATATTAGCTTGTTAATCTATATTAATAATTACTACTTTTAAGTTTTTATTAAATACATCTGTATGTTAACATGTAGTGCTAGAGCTTCTAATCAGTTGAAATGAGCACACGGTAGCATGCTGCAGTAATTCATTTTATTCCAGTACTAAGAAACTGGAAAATTTTATCAGTACATTCATTCTATATAAGCATAGTCTCAGTCTATAAGTGCAAACCACTTATAGAGCCTTTTTTACAAATGAGGGAGAAGTGGTCTGTGAAAATAAAGTCGCGTCTTCACAGTTAAAAGCAAATTGCAGGCTTCCCTGGTGGCGCAGTGGTTGAGAATCTGCCTGCCAATGCAGCGGACACAGGTTCGAGCCCTGGTCTGGGAAGATCCCACATGCCGCGGAGCAACTAGGCCCGGGAGCCACAACTACTGAGCCTGCGCATCTGGAGCCTGTGCTCCGCAACAAGAGAGGCCGTGATAGTGAGAGGCCCGCGCGCCGTGATGAGGAGTGGCCCCCGCTTGCCACAACTAGAGAAAGCCCTTGCACAGAAACGAAGACCCAACACAGCCATAAATAAACAAACAAACAAATAAATTAATTAATTAATTAATTAAAAAATAAAAAAAGCAAATTGCAACCAAATGTGACTAGAATTTAGGTGTTATATTTGGCAGCCTACAAGTTACTTTTTTGGTTTCATATTGTTAGTTTTGTTTACAGTGAGACTTTACTACAAAGACTTTATTATTAATAATTTTGTAATGTATCATTTAGGACACCACTAGTCCTGTTTCTTACCTTTAGCCGGTCCTTATATAGTGATAGCATTGTCTCATCATTAAACTTTATTTTACTAGTACTGTTAAGAATTTTGAATGAGAACTTGAAAATGTCTGAAGATTTAAGAAAGTAATTTCATTCGTTGTTTGTTATCACTCGCATGGCTGCATCTATGGTTTTGTGTTTCTAGAACCTGAGATTTTGACTCTTATAGTCTTACTTAAGATGCAAGTCTGCATCTAACATTTAATAAACCTTTGCACTTGGATATTTCTTTGTAGCCTCAGAATCTGAATCTTTCCAACATCAAACCAATCATCTTCTCCACAAATAAGTCCCCCTTCACATTGTTCCTCTTACGCACAATTCTTGAATTCTTAGAAAAATCTTCAAGGAATGTCTTCCCATTGTTCCTGTTATTCACAATTTTTTAGTTCTTGGAAACTGATTCCTCTGTATCACTTCACATATACACAGTGGGTTGCCAAATTACAACTTTCTTTGTTTCTTATAAAAGTCTATCTTTTGCTTCTTCTATCTGCAAGGCCATCATTACCCAATTTCTTGATTATAGTAACAACCTTTTACATGACCACTTTGGTACTGCTTTTTAAGTCTTTGCTGGTCCTTCTCAAGCATTGTACTCATCTTTCTAAAATACTTCTTGTTCATTCTCTTCTGTATAGTCCAGTTTGCTCAACTGTGTACCAGTTTAAACCTGTATTCATTCTTCAATTTGTAATTTGGATCTCCTAGATTTTGATCCACTTTTCCTAATACCCACCAGTTACTTCACTGTCCTACAGAGTATTAATGTCCATAGTATTTTTATTTCAGGCCTCTGACTTCATATTGCTTCTCCCATTCATTTATGATCTGCCCTTACCATGCCATTTATTGAAATTTTACTCGGCCCAGTTTAGTTCCCATCTCTTTCTTTGTTTATGGAAGTAAAATTCAGGTAACAATCATTTTAAAGTTTACACTTCAGTGGCATTTAGTACCCACACACTGTTGTATGATCATCATCTCTATCTGGTTCCAAAACATTTTCATCAATCCAGGAGAAGACCTTGTACCCACTGAACAGTCATTTCTCATTTCCCCCTGCCCCAGCCCTTGGGAAGCGTGAATCTGCTCTCTGTCTCTACTGAGTTACCTGTGCTGCATATTTCATATGAACAGAATTATACAATATGTGACTTTTGGTGTCTGGCCTGTTTTTCTTAGCATAATGTTTTTAAGGTTCATATATGTTGTAGCATGTATCAATACTACATTCCTTTTCATAGCTAAGTAATATTTTTATTTCTGTACTATTGAAAATAAGTAGGAATTAATTCAAGATGTTAACTTGTGTGTATACACACACACGCACACACATTTTGTTTATGTATTCTTTGGCTGATGAACATTTGATGGACATTTGGCTAATGAACATTTGATGGGCATTTGGGTTGTTTCCACCTTTTGGATATTGTAAGTAATGCTGCTATGAACATTCATATACAAGTATTTGTTTGAATACCTGTTTTCAAATCTTTTGGGCATATACCTAGGAATGGAATTGTGGGTCATATGGTAATTCTTTGTTTAATTTATTGAAGAACATTCAACTTTTTCCCAGATCAGCTACTCCATTTTATATTTTACTCCCCACCAGCAATGTGAGGGTTCCATTTCTCCACATCCTTGCCAACACTTGTTACTGTGTATTTTTAAAATTATTATTATAACATCCTAATGGTGTGAAGTGATATTTTATTGTGGCTTTGGTTTGCATTTTCCTAATGGCTAATGATGTTGAACATCTTTTTCTGTGTTTGTTGAACATGTGCATATCTTCTTTAGAGAAATATTTATTCAGGTTCTTTTTGTTTTGTTTGTTTTGCCCTTCTGTTGTTGAGCTGTAAGAGTTCTTTACATATTTTGGATACTGAACACTTAGAAATACACGATTTATAACTATTGATATTCTTACCCACTGTGTGAGTTTTCACTTTCCTTTTTTGACAATGTCCTTTAATGCACAAAAGTTTCAAATTTTGATGAAATCTTGTAGGCAGCATAGAGTTGGGTCATGATTTATGACCCACTTTGCCAGTCTCTGCCTTTTAATTGGAGAGTTTTCATCTGTTTACATTTAAATTAGTTACTGATAAGGAAAGACTTACTCCTGCCATTTTATTTGTCTTCCACCCTTTTTCCCCTGAATTCCTACATTACTGCCTTCTTCTGTGATTGATTTTTTTCTAGTGAACCGTTTTGATTCTCTTTGTCTTTCTCTTTCTGTAAATTTTTTAGCTTTTCCTTAGTGATTACTCTGGGGATTACACTTAACATCTTGAATTAATACCTACTTATCTTCAACAGTATACAAAACTGTTCCTTTACATCCCTGTCCTGCTCAAATATGTTGAACCTCTCGGGTGAATTTCTTAATTTCAGTTATTGTACTTCCAGAATTTATATTTGTTTTCTTTATATAATGTCTGTCTCTTTATTGATATTCTCTATTTGGTGAGACATTATTTTCCTTTTTTTTTTTTTAAGTTCTTTTTCTGTTGTGTCCTTTGGCTCTTTGAATAGATTTAAAACCATCTGTTTAAAGTCTAGGGCTTCCCTGGTGGCGCAGTGGTTGAGAGTCCGCCTGCCGATGCAGGGACGCGGGTTCGTGCCCCGGTCCGGGAGGATCCCACATGCCGCGGAGCGGCTGGGCCCGTGAGCCATGGCCGCTGAGCCTGCGTGTCCGGAGCCTGTGCTGCACAATGGGAGAGGCCACAACAGTGAGAGGCCCGAGTACCACAGAAAAAAAAACCCAAAACAAAACAAAACAAACAAAAATAAATAAGTCTTTGTCTAGTAAGTCCTATGCCTGAGCTATATTTCTGTTAATTCTTTTTTTTTCTGTGAATAAACCATACTTATTTC